TTTGTGTGTGTGTGTTTCTTTTTCCTTTAGAAGGAAGGAAGGATGGAGGGAAGGAGGAAAAAGAATTACAGGTTGGGTTATTATCCTTGTTTTTATGTTGTTCTAGTTGTTTTATGTTGTTTTTCTTTTCATTTTTTTCCTGTGCGTTTTCATTTTTATGTTTGTGCGTCTTTTTTTTTTTTTTTTTTTTTTGCTCTTTTTTGTCTGTTTGTTTTTTGTTTGTTTTTTTGTTTTTTTACTTTTTTACTTTGGGAGAGGGTGATGGCTTGTCTTTACGTGTCGTAAGATTATCTTTTTATGGCTGTGGAGGGAATGGTTATGGTGATGGAAATAATGGAGGAAGGTGAAGAGATAGAGAGAGAGCGAGAGAGGAAGAATGAGAGGAGAAAGATATGAGAGAAAGTGTGTATGTGTGTGAGAGAGAGAGAGAGAGAGAGAGAGAGAGAGAGAGAGAGAGAGAGAGAGAGAGAGAGAGAGAGAGAGAGAGAGAGAGAGAGAGAGAGAGAGAGGAGAGAGAAAAAATAAAGAGAGAAAGATGAAGAGTGAATAAGAGATAGAGATAGAGCGAGAGAGAGAGAGAGAGAGAGAGAGAGAGAGAGAGACAGAGACAGAGGAGAAAGGGAGAAGAGAGAGAGAAAGAACATGAAACAAGCCATCAAAGAGAAAAAAATGAAGTAAAGGCAGTTCAAGGGATACAAGCAACACACTCGCTGTCGAAATTAGAAATTCTTGACATTTTTAATCGATGTGTTGACTAAAGTTTTGCTGTAGAAAAGGCAAGGTGAAAATTCGGTGCAATTTTGAATACGATGATTTGACTGATTTGGGAGCAGAGAAAAAAAAATTCTCTCTTTTTTTCTCTATTTCTTTCTCACTGATTTTCTCTCTCTCTTTCTCTGTCTGTCTGTCTGTCTGCCTGTCTCTCTCCGTCTTTCTCTCTCTCTCTTTCTTCCTTTCTTTCTCTCTCTCTCTCTCTATCTATCTATCTATCTATCTATCTATCTATCTATCTATCTCTCCATGATCTCCATCTCTGTCTATATCTATATCTATATCTATATCTATATCACTATCTCTATATCTCTATCTCTATCTCTATCTATATCTATATCT